AATTAATCGAGCAGGTACTTCAACGAAAGTATATTGCTATAGTGACCTCCTGTTGGCCAATTCTGGCCGTTTCTGGTCAATTGCTATCTTCAAACGGTCCAGTTGTTGACAGCAGAGATCAGAATTTAGCGTTTGGCCAGAGGGAAACAACTCATAATAAATAATCCCCTTCCAGTCCCACCAAATGCAAAGCAGAATCTTCCTGACCGTTAGTCCTGGTTTGGTCACCGTTTGAGGTGCTTCACCGCTCTTTGACCACGATCGTTTACGCACAGGGTTATCTTATGTGACCCATTTCTCATTTCCAGTCAGCATCCGTTTTAGAAATGGGACCATCTCATTCCATTCCTTCGCAGATCACAATTCGATCCATCCTATTTTTTCTGTTAATTGGTGTGGCACCCAAACATCGAGCTTCTTTTTGAATCCAGCTTTGTGTAAATGTTTTAAAACAGTTTTATGGTCGATTTTTAGCTCCCGGGCGATGTTACGATTGCTAACATGCCGGTCAACTTCCATAATTTCTCCGATTTTATAGACATTTTCATAATGGATTTCTTTTTACCCAACCTAATACTTCGAGGTCCTACAATTTGAAAAAAAAAATTATATTCCATTCCTTCTTTCCTTCTTATAGTGAACGGTATACAAATATAATCATTTTCTTCCATTTAAAAAAAAAACTTTCTTCAAATTTATCTAAGTCCCACCATCTACCAATAATCTTATCTGTGAATGCTATATAGAAAATTCAAATTTAATATGAAACAAAAACAGGAAACATTGATTAAAAAAAATTGGCAAAAATCATGATATTTGTAATCTATGTTGCGAAAACGTGCCAGCTGGAGTATGTGGAGTATTTTTTCCCCTTTTCAATACAACATACACATACAACGACGACGACAACGACTAAAGGTTAGCAACAGTTTTTAAAATATATATGTTTACATTTATAATTCTTATCAATGCTTGAAGTGCTATGTCTGCAAGTGTTACTGTACATTAACAGCAACAAAAAAAAATCTTAAAAAACACATAGACTTCATTATAGTTGCGAATATTTTATGCGTGTTTATTTATAGTTTGAAATCCACAAACACACACACACGACAACTATTACCAACAACAACAAATTTTATAGTTTTCAATTAAATTATAAACACTTCGCACACGCTTTTGTTTTTGACTTTTGAGAATTATGTGCATATATTATTGTTGTGCAAATTTTGGGTAATGTTTGAGACAAATGTTATAGACTAGTTTAATCAAGTTTGATTTTAATCCACATTTGCATCAGCGCTTTACTTCCTTGAACCCATTTCATTTCATTATATTTGCGCTGAGAATAACATCAGAGAGAAAGAGACAAGGTTGAGCAAAAATTGAAGAGATAAATTCAAATATTGATTTTTTTAAATTATATTATGTATGCAGACAAGAAAGGCAATTTTGTTTGAATGTCTCTGCTGCTATTATGAATATAAATTATATACATTATTGCGAATAAATTGATAGGACAATTGATTTTATTTATTTAAATAAGCGGAACAAAAGCAGTATTTAAATTCACATATTCAATACTCATATTTGTAAAAAAAGACAACACCTTAAGGTACCCCTTGAATCTTCTCATTTATGCCGATAACACCTGTTGGTCATTAAAAAAAGTTTTGATATTTCAAATGGAAAATCGTACAAATTAAATAATTCCCTGCAATTTCAAATTATTCAAAATGTAAGCAATTACCAATTTTAATTAATAAAATCGACTGTATTTGGTAGAATTTACCTCTCTATGAAACAGGGGGCCGTAGGAACCATAACATTATATAGATTTTGAAACAAATGTAAGAAATAAATGGAATATGTTCCTGATAATGTTGAGTCTATTTAGAGAATTCAGTCGCGGATGTTAACACCTGATGGGATTAACTAAATTTTGGGTCGCTGAGAAGCACCTTTCCAAAAATGGAGGGGATTGCGCATTGTAAGAATGAATCATTATTGTTAATGGTCAAAAGTGGAAGGATTATTAAAAAAAAAATCTGGACCTCGTTCTTTTAAAGGGACCCCACAGATTTTGTGATTATCTGCAAAATTCCATAGGAAGTTATTGCAGTAGTACATACATTTTGAAGAAATTATATTCTTTTAATACTGGACATTGACTCTAAACCATAAATATCTATGTATATTATAAAAGGCATAGACTGATTGCATGTATCTTTGTGCCATCGACTGATGATTTCTTACAATATATAATTTTCAATTTCTTATCCCATCAAAGAAAAGTTCCACTGTACAACACAACAACGCAAAGAGATTTTTTTTTGTTTCTAATTAATAAATCATACAAATTATATACTTACATGAGCATTATACAAATGTACATAACGATCGCCGACACGTATTCTGCACATGCCAACACCCTTGCCGCCAAACCAATCGGCATGTTGAATGCGATGGCAATAACCATTCACGGTCCATGAATGGAAAAGTGTACTAACTATGGGATATTTTGATAAGACCAATAGACCAGCACCAATAACACCACTAATAATAGAATTAAACAATTAACATTATTTTAAAACACATAAGTAAAATCTCATAAATTACCTATAAAAATAATGAGCATAAGGCAATATTGCTTTTGTTAATTCCTGTAAGAGCATGCTATCCTTTTCCGTCCATACCTCCTGCAGTGATACAATATCATATTTGCCGCTGCTCAATTCTTTGCCAATATGTTGCATACGTTCAGCACGATCGGCGGAGACAAAAGGTATACCCCTAAAAAGTAGAAACAGGAACAGCAACAACAAAAATCAACTTAATTGACCTTCAATAATATACAGTTCAAAATAAAAAAAAATATCACAGTTTCCCTATTAGGTTTTACTATCCAAACACAATAAAAAATACTATGATTTGCAAACATAGTTTTGTTTGTTGATGTTGTTATTGTGTTTAATTAATATTCTTCCCACTTACCACACGTTTAAGGTCAATACACTCAATTCGAGGGACACCATATTGTCCGTCCAGCAGCTTTTGTTTCCACCAACAACCAAAAAACTCGGTAGGACTTGTTATGCCTCCTTTGTTACACAAAAAATAACACTTTTTTGAAGGCAAATTTATTTAAATCCACGTTTTCTTTATTTACACCACTCCTTGTTTATTTTTATCGCATCGCAATTGTACACACAGACACTTTTTTTCTTATATCTAAACGAAATAATCTTTGCTTATTATAACTACAAAATTCGACGAACAAAACCAACTATAGACACAAAAAACAATGCAAACACTGCCCAACACCCCTACAGAGCTAAAAAAATTCACAGATGTTTTGTTTTTGTATCGTCTATGAATGATAGTGATTGATTGTGTTGTTGCCACCTGTGCAGTAACTGTTTGTGTTGGTGGTTGTCTACTAGGGAAACAGCTGTTTCTTTGATATCGATAACATGATGATGGCGTTCGATTTGTGTTGCCACTGTTTTTATCGGATGCAAGAATTCAAAGTAGTGGGATTTTTGGACGGCGTTATATTATGGGAAAATAATTTTTTAACGATTTTTTTAAATATGCAATGGCTCATTTGAACGAATTGAAATAAGACTTACCGGTCCATTGTTTCTAGTAACTCCCCCACAAAGGGTCAATATTTTCAATATGTATAAAGCCAATATTAAGATCTCATCCAAACTTTGTACATTACCAATCTCAGATCAACTAAATAACTCCTCCCCCACAAAGTGAAAATTTCAGTTTTTATAAATCCTATAAACGAATAGAATGTCCGTCGTATTTTTACAAATTCAAAATCATCTCCGAAGATGGGACCCATTTGTCCACTGCTTCGGGTACCTTGCTGACAAAGTGTCAACATTTCTAAAATTTGTTAATTCAATACCAAGCGAATACAATATCCGATTTGACCCAAACTTTACAAATATGTATCGTAATACTTTCTCCAAATATAGATCATGTCCGAATATGGAACCCATCGGTCCACTCCTTCTTATACCTCCCCCACAAAGGATCAACATCATAATAATTGCTTAGTTCAATATCAAACGCATGGATCGTCCAATTTGTATACATCTTAATATTGCTACGTTGGAGTCCGAAGATGGGACCCATCGGTCTACTCCCCCACAAACAATGAAACATACTTCTATAGAACAACCTCTTCTGGTACCTCTCCACACATGGTCAACTAATGGATAATAACATATACCTTATATAAAGCGAATAATGAGACCATTGTGTAGTAATTCCGTAGACCTCCGCCATAGGCTGGGAATATACAGTAGCGTGAATTATAATAGCAGTTATTATATTGAACAATTCCGGTGTTCTTGATTTATAAACAAAATAATTTAAATTTATTTTTCAATTATTTATTAGTTGCTTTGCTCTCTTTTAATTAAATTATAAACCACTTTGGTCTCGTCAGACCATAAAATGTTACGCCACTTAAACAGAGGCTAATCTAGGTGCTTTTTTGCAAATTTTTTGAAGGTATGTATTTTTTTAAGTAGAGGTTCTTTTCTGGGAGGTCTAGCATACAAATTGTGATGCAGCAAGAGTCTCCTGATTGTACATGCATGAACTCAAGGTTAAATTTTTGTTTCAATTCCGTAGCAGATGATTTGGGCTCATCTCGGACTTTTCTTAAGATTATTTTTTCATCAAATTGAGAGATTTTTCTTTTTCGCCCACGCGTTTCTGGTTTGGGAGACCATTTTATAGCGTTAGAGATCATCTTCAAATTTTTTCATACTTTAAATAGCAATAGCATAAAGTATGCAACAAAATAGCGATTTAAAAAATGTAGAAAGAAATCAACTGTTAACATTATTTTGAAAAATATAGCGCATATATTAAGAATCAGTACTGAACTGCTATTAATTTGCACGCTACTGTACATCTGTCGGCAATACCGACTGACACTTTTTATTGATCCTAAAGTTGTTTTATTAAAAACTGATTACTTGATGTACGCGACAAGTGCATTAAAATTATTGATCCAAAACAAATCATAACGAGCTCCAATAGCATCATGAACAAACAAGAAATGTGTCATAACCATGTTCGACTGTAAAAATAATACGAGAGATAATTTCCATTTCTCACTTGAATTGCCATTATGAATAACTGTATCGCTCCCACTGCCCTCTCTTCATGCATTTGGTATTATCATAGACTAATGAAACTATAGACACCAAAGTACTCTCATCTCTTATATTCGAATTTCGATTTTATTTTAGATGGCGTAGTTGTCCATTTTATATTGCATTTCCTATAATGCAAAAATTGAGTGAAAGCGTTTCAATATGTTAGAGTTTGAAAATTGTTTACGTTGTCAAATATAGAGGGCATTAGTATTGCATATAAACTAGTCTATTTCATGGTTGCAATATAAACATTGAATTAATAAAATTCTTATTTGCGTAAATGTAAGGAATAAAAAATAAGTGTAACATTGAGTGTGGAATATGTTAACATTAATCCAAAATAAGTATTTTCAATTAACTCGTTGATGTTCTGCAAACAATACTGCTTTGTTAACTATTGTTAAAAAATCACGATTGATGTATAGACATATGTATTATAGACATAGTTTCTACATCAAACCGTTTTTAGTGTGATTACGTGAAATTTTGAATAGACTAAACATAAAAAATTGAAAAATCATATCATGAAGAATGAATACAATCATGATTTTCATTCATTAATTCGAAATTTTATTTTAATATTGTCTGGAAGCTTAAGTCACAAATGCAATTCTTCCTTATTATTTCTTTAAAATAATATTTACTGGCGTGTTGAAAATTAAAAAAGTTAAAAATACCGTAGCCGTTTACGCAGCGTATACCTCCATGCGTTATACGTCCAACAAATTCAGGTGATGCCTCCAGCTACATTTCGAATTCTAAGTCCCTAATACGATCAGCTGTTTTGTAATATGCTTTACTTTTGTTTTGCCAATTGCTGCCGGCTGCAATAATTTATTTATTTTTATTGTATATTACTCATAACTAATCTATTTTTCTCTTTATTTTCAGGTTGCCGAAGGATGAGCAGTCGCTTCCACCCTTGGAAGCTTGATAAAACCCAATGCCCTTCCAGTTTTTATTTTTTACTATGAAAATGTACTGGCGGCATTGCAACGTGGGATTAGGGGGCTTGGGTGGGAGAAGTTACATCCCTCCTAAGCAATTGCACTCAGGCCCTTATGATACTTTATGACTGTTTTTATGTGGTTTTGGTGGCCTCTACAATGATGAAAAGGCCGTATGTGTGCGAAGCTCAACGCAATTTTTTTTATGCCCTTCACCACACTGGTATAGGGTATTATGCATATGTTTGTAACAGGCAAAAGGAATCGAGATAGACTCATGGTTCCTTTTGAGAATATGCATAGAATCACTTTCTGAGTCGACTTATGCATGTCCGTCTGTCCGTCCAAGTATTTTTGTTAACAAAGTACAGGTCCCATTTATGATCCGATTTGGATAAAATTTGGTACATGTCACTTATTTGGCCCAAGGACGAACCCTATTGAAATTGATGAAAATCGGTTCAGATTTAGATATAGCTCCCATATATAGTTTCGTCCGATTTTAGGTAAATGGTGCACCAAACTCCCAATATTGGTGCGATTGAGACAAAATTTTGCACAGAGTATTTCAGGTCTAGATTGATGTATGCCAAGTTTGATTGAAATCGGTCCAGATTTAGATATAGCTCTCATATATATTTTCGTCCGATTTTATGTAAATGGCGTACGAGGAGTCTATGTTTGTTCTATATTCACGAAATTTTGCAGTGTTTATTGAATTTAGTCTAGAATGATTTGGTTAAGTTTCATATCGGTTCATTTGGCAATTGTGCAAATGAAGGAGCCTATATTTGTTTTCTTTGCATGGAATATTGCATAGCGTATTGGATTGAAGACGTTTCAAGTTTAAATATAGCTTCCATACATATTTTCATGTGACTGCATCAAAATGATGGATTTTGTGTCGAGATAAATTTTGTATAGCACATAGTGTTGCAGCATACCAAATGGTGGATTCCACGGTTGCTCAAATACGTCCATTTATATATATAAAGATCATATGCATATTTTACTCGATGCTTGGCATTAAATTTTTCATAGATTTCAGATTGTATGTGTATGTGTTGCTTTAATTTAGTTCAAATATCAATAATTTCAGTTCATTGCGTTAGATTGTATGTACCTAAAGTGGTGAAGGGTATCATATAGTCGGCCCCGTCCGACTTTGGAGTTTTCTTTTCTTTACGGATTTGGAGGTTTATATGCGGCTAGAACAATGCCCTATATTAAATGTTTTCGGAACAGAACAGTCTTAATAATTGCGACTTCGGATCAAAGTAATGAGTGGATTCATTCTGTGCGGTATATGGTACCTGCTCCAATGTTGGATTTCAATTCACCATCATAATATCTATACAAATTTGATATAATTAAAATGATAATATATGATATAATTAATAATTAAATAAATATTATTGAATAACTATGTTACATGTATATGATTAGTAGATAATTTTATTAAAATATATGACTTTTTCGAAAATTGATATTTAAATAATGTTTGTGTGTGTATTATATAGGGTTGTGTGGTTCTAAGAGTTAAGCAATTATTGGTATATCAAAATACAAAATCTCAGTTATTGTATTTACTATCTTCACTAAACTTTATAAATAATCATTATGAAATTTTACACGGTTGCTAACGAATAAGTACGACTGTTTCAATGATGATCAGAAATAACATATATCCAGAAAAGAGACTTGGTTAAAATTTAATTTGATCTTAAGTTTTATTAGACATATAATAGACGTTGTGAAGGGTGTATTCTAGTATGATTTAAGATTGCCTTTTTAATGCTAGAGTATTTAAATACCGAGAAATTCAGACAGGATCGAGAATTTACAGTGGTAGACGTTCATGCTCGTCCTAAATAAAGGGAAATAATCCTGTCGGAATATC